ATTCTTCTTCATAATAATATGAGTCATTCAGATATAGATTCTTTCTCAGATTATGAGAGGTATTTTATCTATATATAGTAGCGAGAAAAGAAAGAGAGCACAACATTAAATTGTGAGTCACAGATAAAAGAAGTATGAAAGCATCTTAGAGATTTATTAGCTAGTCAAATAATTGTCAGTATAAAGCTTTTCAGTATTTAAGAAATATTTATAGCCATGAAAAGGTTACAATAGTTATAAATAATGAAGGAAATATTTCATTTTGTTTAAATGCCTATTAGTTTATAAATAGCAATGTTTTTCATAGTTTTATAATTATCAACGAGGTTTTTAGCCGCTATAGTATGTTAAAATGACTGCGGAGCCTTTTAATGGTTATTTAAACTTCAAATATGTACACCAATTTAAAACAAACGTGGGATGCCTTAATAATGAAAGCAAAACTTGAAGTAGTTGTAGAATTATTGGGTACCTACAGAAAACCATAAAGTGGGTTTAGAAAATCATTAAGTAGCTATAGGGACTCATTAAGTAGCTGTAGAATCATTAAATAGCTGTAGAGAATCATTAAGTAGCTGTTGGAATTCATTAAGTAGCCGTTAGCTTTTTTTCAAAACGATCTGTTTTGAGAAGCTACGCTGTCGAGGAGCAAACAATGAACTTCAAGACTTCTCGACTTCAAATGACTTTAAGAGACTGCAAGCACAGAGGCTTTAAATATTTAAAAGAATTCAGAAGACTTCACGAGATTTCATGAGTCTACAAGAGGTTCCATCAGACTTAACAGTATTTCAGCGGATCTCAGCATAATATCTGATGCAAAAGTAATGTGATGATTGTGGATTCCCATTTCTCTTCAATAGAAGGGTGTTAGAAGTTAACCTATTTTTGCCTGAAGATAGAGGTTTCGCTTTTTTCGAAGTTTGAGTGACCTATGTTCATCAAAGACTTATAAAGCAAATGATAACAGAAAACTCTGTAAAAAAAAGCTTGTTAGCGCAGCTCCTGCGGAGCTGAAATGTGGAACTCACGTATACCTTTAGCTTTGTTACCTGACGCATCATCTGTATACTGAAAGACTTCTCGTCAACTATAGTTGTTTTCCTTGAGAATCGATGAAAAGAGCGGGAATTTATTATTTATTTGTATATTAAAAAAATATATTAAAAAAGAAAATATTGGTTTTTCATTTAAGCGCGCTCGATTTCATTTATAATTATTGCTATATACTCGATAATAATCTTTTTTTTTTTCTAATTTGAAGTTATTTTTCTCCACCATCGACTATTTGATGAATACGGTTGTTGCAGTCTGTAATGGGGGAGGGCGGGGGGGGGGGGTATGTGTATGTAATGTTCTCTTTCGTTGCTATGGTCTGTAAGGGGAGGGGGGGGAGCCGAAAAATCTCGAACTTAAAACTTACACTCACTATTTTCTTCGAAAATATACGTGAGTTCCACAAAACCTGTCAGACTGAACATTTTTCGATACCATTTTTGAACTTCTTTTAGTTCTAGCCAAAGAGTCTGAACTGTTTAGAGTTTTATAATTTCAGATTGAAACCTTTTTAAGTTCTGAACTCTTGGTTGGCATATAGTAAAAAGTTTCTAAAAATGGCATCCAAATCTAGAACCCCTAAATGTTGAAGAGCTTCGCTAAAACTCTACATGGTTTCTTATGACACTTTTTTTTAGAGAGAAGGCAAGTACTGTTAAAATAAGTTCACAATTTTCGAGAGATTCAAATAGACGGATGAAATACTGATCTCTATATTTTTTGATAAACACGTTTTAGAAAATCTTTTTTCCCATCAATTAATAGGATATTTTCCCTGTTCAGAACCATTTATTAGTCATGTTTGTCTTACATTCACATATAAAGTTAGGCTAGAAAAAAGAGAAACATTTGAGTAATAAATTTGCAATTTTTATATAAACTTATGAAAGCCATAATGTTAGACGATTGTTAACTGCTTTTTAAGAGCTCATAGAAAAAATCCGTTAAAGTGGTGACTAAATTGATCTATGCCAACTCATTAAAACTATTCTGTAAAGCGATCATTTATCTAAACTAACTGTTGCCTACTAAGGTCAAAAAAACAGACATACGGCCTTCTAAGATCAAATAAAACATACAAAACACTCTGGTCTCACAAGTATTTTATCAACTCGCCCTAGAAGATGCTTGTAAGACTTTACCATGACATAGGATTTTTGCTAATCTGATTTTACTATCTAATAGAACAGTAAGATCTTTTAAGAATTGTGTACTTCAATTTGATATAAAATTTTTGAGATTACGATTTTTTTGAAAATTTAATTTCACCTCATTAAACAGTACACTCAACTTTTTTACTTGGGATCGAAAGTTTTTTGCGTTAGTGTTCTCTGTTTTCTTGCTTCATTTACCTTACGATTCTTGGAAAAATATAAGTTATATACTGTTCAACTGAGGAGAAAGTTTCCTGTCCATTGATGGAAAAATACACTTTTCAGAATACCTTTATCGGAGAGATATAAGCATTCATATGCTGTGTCATAATTTATAGAAAGAGTTCAAATGCTTTTCGAGCTACTTCATTTTATTGTTACACGGCTTTGTTTATGGATGTGCGATTAAAATAATTTATGTATGATTCGAAAAATGAAAATTTTTTTGTCGCATTACATTTGCGTCAAGGATTATACTAAAAGCATTAGTTCAAAGACTTCATGGAACTTTGTGAGAATCTATCAGATTTCTGAATACTTCATGAGACTTCAAAAATTTCATCCGAATTCTAGGTGGAACTCTCAACTGTTTTTTTCTCGGGTACTGCCAACCTTAAAATATAGTTTGATTGACAAGTTTCATTAGTTTACTCTAATTATTTGCTTTTTCGTTATCATCAGTAGATTATTCTTGATTTAAACCGTAGCTTCTCAAAAGAGATACTTTTTAATTAAAGATTTCGCTATTTAAAGAAAGCTTTGGCTATTTAAAATTCTCAAAAGAGATACTTTTTAATGAAATATCGCTATTTAAAGAAAACTTTGGCTATTTAAAAGCTTTGATACTGGTTTTTTCATAGTTAGCTAGCAATTCAAACAAAACAACAGTGACACTCAATTATTTAAATAGCTGCGTGGCTCATTGTTTTGCGTTCTGGTTTTTTTTGAATTTATCCTCACATCAACTAAGCAACCCACTGCTCGTGGTTTATTTTGTTTTTTTCGAAATAAAAGATATTAGATAATAAAAAGATAAAATAAAAAAAACGAATTCATCCTCACATCAACCCAACAACCCTCTGCTCGTGATTTATTTTATTTTTTCTTTTGAAGTAAAAGAAATTAGATGATAAAAAGATGAAATAATAAGAAAGAATCCATCTTGTTATCAACCAAACACAAACCTCTGATCATAGTTTATTTTTTTTCAAAGTAAAAGATATTAAATGATAGAAAGATTGCATAAAAAAACGAATTCATTCTCACTCAACCAAACAAACCTCTGCTCGTGGTTTATTTTGCTTTTTTTATTACAGTAAAACATATTAGATGATAAAAAGATGAAATAAGCAAAAAACGAATTCATCCTCATATCAACTAAACAAACCCTGTTCTGAAGAATCAGCAAGGTAGGATGAATATTTGAGCAAAACATCTACTAGTGATGATAACGTAGTATTCTTTTTGATGCTTATAAGAATAAACATATAATTGTCAGTATTTTTTATTGTTAGAAATCGCAGACTCTGATTTAGGTTTTTTTCTTTTCTATCGCAATTTTAAATAGTTGCAAGATATTTAGATAGCAACGATAGGATAAAATAGGCAAATGAATAATTAAATTGCTATGCAAATCATTAAATAGCTACAAAATCTTTAGAAAGCTATGATAGGATTAAATAGCCAAATGAATGATTAAATAGCTATGTAAATCATTAGATAGCTATAGCAACTTTAAATAGTTACAAGATCTTTAGATAGCTATGATAGCATTAAATAGCTATGCAAATCATTAAATAGCTGTGCAAATATTTAAATAGCTATAGCAAGTTTAAATAGCTCCAAGATCTTTAGATAGCTATGATAGCATTAAATAGCCAAATGAATGATTAAATAGCTATGTAAATCATTAGATAGCTATAGCAAGTTTAAATAGCTACAAGATCTTTAGATAGCTATGATAAGATTAAATAGGCAAGTAAATGATTAAATTGCCATGCAAATAATTAAATAGCTATAGCAACTTCAAAATAGCTACAAGATCGTTAGATAGCTATGATAGCACTAAATAGCTATACAAATCTTTAAATAGCTATCGCAAGTTTAAATAGCTGCAAGATCATTAGATAGCTACGACAGGATTAAATAGCCATGCAAATCATTAAATAGCTGTGCAAATCTTTAAATAGTTGTAGCAAGTTTAAATAGCTGCAAGATCTTTAGATAGCTATGATAGCATTAAATAGTCAAGTCAAA